ATTCGTGCTAGATATTTTAAACGCTCCACCTTCCTTAATAGTATCCCTAATTCTAATGATTCCCCTCTTTGGAAGGATATTCTCAAAGGGAAGGATCTTCTCTTGAAGGGTATTTCGTATAGAATAGGGAATGGAAGGGATATATGTCTTTGGTTCCATCATTGGGTGGGGGATAAGCCCATTTACTTAGTCATTGACAAACCTATTCCTAACTCCATGGCTCATTGGGGGGTTAGTCATATTATTGACAATGGAATGTGGAATACTAACAAAATCAAGCATATCATACCGGATTACCTTTGTAAACTTATTGAAAGTATTCCACTTCCTAGAGTTGCCTCGATGGAGGATACTTTATGTTGGGGAGTGGAGACAAATGGAAAATTTAGTATCTGGAGTGCTTACAAGCTTGCTTCTAATTTTGTTACTCATCATTCTTTCCCCTCTATTAATTGGAAGAAATTATGGCATATGCCTATCCCTTTTAAATATAAAATGCTTGTTTGGAACATTTGTCATCACATTCTTCCTACTGCTACTATTTTGGCCTTGAGAATTGATAACTTCGACCCAATTTGTACAAGATGTAACCTCAGTGATGAGAGTCATATGCATTTGTTTAGGGATTGCGTTAATACTAGAACCTTGTGGTCTAGGATTTTTGGCCTAAATAAAATGGATAAAGACTTTAACTATAATATTTTTTTCAATCTTAATTGGGAAGGTTGGGTTAACTATAATCTAGGGATGAGTACTACTTGGAAGGTTGCCTTCTCGATTGCCTTGTGGTACATTTGGAAGGCACGAAACTACACTGTTTTTCAACAAGCTGTGTATCACCCCATTTCGTTATTTAATAAATATAAGTTGGACTTGGATGTTACTCTCAATACTTTTCAGGGCAATGCTAGACTTCCTGTTAATCTGATTCGGGAATCAAGGTGGCAGAGGCCTTTGGGAAGCTGTGTCAAGATCAATTGTGATGGTGCGTGGCAAGGAAAAGAGAAGGCTGGTGCGGGGGTGGTGGCTAGGCTCTCTGATGGCACATGGTTCTTTGGTAAGGCATGGAGCTTTGCTGCTAACAGACCTGCTCACGCTGAACTTATGGCTATCCATGGGGGTATGCAAATGGCGGTGGACGCTCAACTCAAGGATGTCATCATTGAGACAGATGCTTTATCCCTTAAGCGCACAATTCAGGACGTGGCCAAGCATCAAACTCATGATTTGGCAGCGATTCTTATGGATATGCAAGCTCTCCTCGGCAAGGGATGCTCGTTTGACTTCAATTATATGCCAAGGGAAGCGAATCAGGTGGCTCATATCCTTGCTAATTTGGTTGTACAGCAGGGAGGTGGTGCTAAATTCTTTGATGAATCTCCTTCTTGTACTCTGAACTCTTATGAGGAGGATATCACTACGAGTATTTAACTGCTTTAGCATTATTGTTCATTTGCTAGAGAGTTCTGTTGGCTATTATCATGTGTTTTTGCCTGATTTAGTGATGTGTAACATGGTTGCAGGAGTGATTTGTAATTTTGGGGTTGGATTATCTGCAGGTAGTTTTCATATTAGGCCTATGGGGTGGAACTTTGTCTTGTTTGTTAAGCTTATGCTTGTGAACCTTGATTATCGTTAATGAATGATTTGCCTTTTTATGTTAAAAAAAAAAGAATTAGAATACAATGACAAAATAACTTGTTTTGTATTTATTTTGTTTTTGTTCTACATTCTAATACTTGTATTTATACATAAATGTGAATTAATAAACATGATTTATTATAGCTAAGATGGTAATACATGTTTTCATTCAATGAGGTTTTGGGTTCGAATCTCTTTGATGCATTTTTTATTGAGAACATTGAATGCAGCATGATGTTAAAGGTCGTTGAATGATGATGTGGCAGTACTTGTGTAATAGAGGATACATGTGGCACATACACAAATTTAGATACTCTTTTTAATATCCCTAAGCTACCTTATAAAAAGTAGGAGATTGCTCTTATGAATAATGCATGAATCATTATACCCCTTTCTACCTTATAAAAAGTAGAAGATTGCTCTTATGAATTGTGCACGCACCATTATACCCCTCAAAATATTTATATACCTTATTACCCTCATATGTAATTTTCCTAATTTCTCATTGGATTGGGAAATTGTCCGTACATTTTCTTAACCATTTTTTAGTTTTGAGCTTTCTTCTCCTTTCTCTGTTCACCTTCCTTGATGTACTGATTGTCTGATTACTCATGAACATTTTTACTTTCTATTTCTTCTCCATCTCTGTTCACCATCCCAAAATTATATAAGAACAATTTAAATCAAAATCACTTAGTTTCCAATTGGTCATATATTTATAAAATTAATATACTTAACGTTTCACCCCTATATATTGTAGTACGAATTGGTATAATTTTAAGAGCTTTCACATTTTTTTAATGTGAAAGATTGATTTGATTATTATCTACAAGTTTCCATTTGCTATTAATTCCAAATTATAATTTTTTTTATCAAATTTAAGTAGTACCGTTAAGCTCATTTGCAATTGTATTAGTATTTTAAGAGGAGAAAAATAAGGGGCTTTAGCAAGGATGTGAAGTGTTGATCAAATGTGGGTACATGAAAATGAGATTAATTGCCAGAAAGTGGAATATAGATAGTGAATGATAATAAGAAGAATGATGAATTTGGTTATTTGCCTTTTCTTGCTCTATATTTCACAAACTTCCTAGCAATATTATCTTGGCTTGGTGACTCCATTAGATGGATGAATTTGAAAAACCCATCAATTAATTAGAAATTAAATGAAAATTGGAATAATAAATTAAAGTTTAAAATATTTTAAATTTAATGGGGGTTATGGTTTAATTACATGAAAACATTAGTCACTGGACATCTAAAGGTTGTTGCTTTATGTGGGTGTATTTTTTCTTTATTTTGTGAAGGTCAAAAATCAAAATTAACGACTTACCCATAATTGTGTTTAAAGGACATTGAGGCTAATGAAATTAATTTATGATTGTGCCGAAATAGATGTATAGGAAGAAAAGAAACCAAACTGACTATGTGAAAAGGGGAAGAAAGGTAAGAAGGGATTCAATGGAATTATCAAGGGTAGACAAAGAAGCTATAAGTGGAGCAATGTAGAGCTAATACCTGCTAATTTAACTACAAAGCTAAATTCTTAAAAGCATTTTGTCTAAGTTAATTTTTTACTTATTTGTTAGCTTTTGAGCATTGTTAAATCATGTGTAATTAACTCCATGTGAAGTTCAAACACAAGCCGAGAAAAATTAAGCCGAAAGGGCTGGCCACCCCACTCGCAACGTGAGCGATGGCTGCCCTAGTATAGTATAAAAAATATGTATATTATAAATGAGGTTTTATAATAAAAATTATGTGATAAAATATAGAAAAATATTAAATTAGTTACCTTTGTTGTAAATAAAGGAGTAATATAGTACAAATTAAATAGTATAAAAATATTTAAGATAAAAAAGATAATCTCACAAACAATAATGGAATAATATCGGTGTGTCATGATGCAAATCACTAACTTGAAAATGAATTTTGACGCAACCAAGGTGCTCAATTGTATTCGTCAGCACTTTCCTTAAGGTTAACATACCATTTCCCCACAGAGACACTTTTGGGTGGAAAGTTTGAGTCAAGTAACTTATGCCCAATAGAGAATGTGTTTAGACTGTTGTGCTTGATTTATTTTTTAAGTCTAAAAGTCAGGATAAAAAAAAATGATTCTTCTATTTATAGAGAAACATGAAAGAACATAGAAGAAGAATCTCAAGCAACAAGGGAGGTGAATAATCACCTTAAACATCCTCTTAAATAGAGGGTTATGAGAGTTATTACTTATTAAAAGAATAATGGTGGTGATTAATCTCCTTAGCTTGAACATCTTATAGTAATTGTATGACATGGGGCCACATCATCTGCCTAGTCATGATAACACTTGGCGAGCTTTAACATTTAACTAGTACATACCTCTAGTGTTGCCCATGAATTCCGTTTTTTGAAGGGTGTACTTATTTTTATACATCCTTCGAAGTTTTTTATGGTACCCATTATTATTATTATCATTATTTAAAACTTTTTTTTTGTTGAAAAAAAATTATTTTAACTATTGTTACTTGTAAATAAATTACTATTGCCTCTAGTATTTTAATGTCACATTTGAACTTTTGGCATTATTAGCTTGACCTAGTTCGACCAATGTTCCTCTTTGGGTTTAATACTTCCCACAATCGAGTGATCCTCTCTTTCAAAATCTAGTCTTGTCTCTTGTTATTTATATCTAAATCCTTGATCAAATGATAATATGTGAAATTTTAAAAAACAAAAGATAGATAATGACACATTATAAATCTTTTTATGTAAGGGTATTTAATATGAAAACTGTATAAATTTAAGGGAAAAGATATATGGGCTGCATTTAACATGCTAAAAGTGGAAAGAATTGACAAAAAACAAACATTTATTACACCGATTTACTCGTGAATTTTCGATAAATTTCCGACTTAATATTAAAAAAGGAAGTACATTAAGGGTATGTTCTCTTCAGCTTACTTTCAGTTCAGTTCAGTTCAATTTAATTCAGCTCCAATAAGTTCAGTTCAGTTCTTAATTTCCTTCTCTCATAAAATATTCAGTTCAATTCAGCTCAGCTCCAATAAATTTTGTTCAGTTTAGTTCAACTCAGTTCATTCAATCAGAACAGGCTCTAAATGCTTATGGGCTATAGCATTACCGTAAATTTGAATTAGTGCTTAATTGGGAAATGTATAGATGTATCATGTATTTTATATGGTATTATGGTAAGAGAAAGGTAAAGAAAAAAAATTAGTGTATGATGTAAAATGAATATAAACTAGTACATACAATATTTTGGATCACCCATAAAAATATATGCACTACGTTATGTGACAAAGAAAGTATTAATGGAATATATTACGGAATAAAACAATTACATTAAAGTGGGGATGTAATCCGAAGATATAACAAATTAACAATTAACAAGGTGCATCAACATTAAGTTGTTTTGCCAACTCCTAATATCATGGTATTTTCTAGATGAAACATCCTATTGAATAGATTAATTCTTTCTGACCTTTTACCTACCTTAATACTCGCAACTTATTTTCTCATTTAGATGCTTTTCTATGTTTTATTATTTCCCTTTTTATTTGTTTTTATATCTTTATGGTAGGAAATTTTGGATTTAATAACAACTAAAAAAACCCCACATTTTTTTTTTTGTCTTGTGTCATTTTAATGTTTGCTCATTTTCTTTCTTTCTTTCTTTCTCAGTTGAATGGTTAATTAGTGTGTATAATTCATCTATTAGATTACATGGCATGCATGAGAATTGGCTCTAAATCTGACTCTTTGCGTCGTGAAGGCCAAACTTGGTATGTTACGTTACTTTCTTTCATCACTTGTTCATTTTATCATCTTGATTAGTAGTTTTGAGTCGTTGAACCAAGGATTTTAGACGGATCCATATAGTTTTAAGGAAAAGAATTTTACATTCTTTCTTTTTAGGACGGGAGGATAAGGGAAATTCCTATCGATTATAATTTTTTGTTGTACTTGTAATTGTTTGGAATGAAAAATGTAAAAATAAAAAAATTTTGTGAAATTATAATTAAATGGTTTGTAGTCAAAATGACAATAAAAGATAGCTTATCAATGTATTTGTAATAGATGGAAAAGTTTAATAGAAGATTACAAAATACTTGTTATTGTTTTTTGTTTATTGTGCTATTGAGTAATTACATGTGATTTGATATGGAGGAATGAAACCTGCATTATAATCAATTTGAGCTTAAATTGGTATTATGGAAAATTAATTTTCTTTGTATCATAAACATTTCTTTTAGATATATGTTATAAACAAGAAAAAATATAAAATTTATCAATAATAGGAGTAAATTATAAACTATAAACAACAACTTGTTTTGATTGTTAAAGTATAAGGAATAAATAATACTATGTGATGGCCAAGATATGGGATGAAATCTCGCTTACAAACATGTTGAACGGGTGAAAATAACATTGGTGTTATTTTGTGTTGTCTTTATTATTTTCTTTCATTTTCTATTACATGAAACATTGAAATTTAATACATTTTAGTAACATGTCAAAATCTAATGAAGTGTTGATTGATTAATGTTGTGATTTTTAGTTTCTTTGTACAACTTCAAGTTGTTTTCATATATATTTTACTAAAAGATACAAGTAATGAAATATTTGCATTCAAATTGTATGTTGGCAAACGCAAAACTCAAAATATTACTTGTATATTTTATTTTATTTTTTTTTTGAAAAAATTACTTGTATATATTGTACTGAAGAATTGTCTTAAAAAAAATAATAATAAAAAAAAAAAATATTGTACTGAAGAATTATTGTAGTGAATACTTTTAGCCTTTTAAGTTTGGTATTAGTTCAATATTTCCATAGAATACTTCTTTACAATTTTGTTGGTTTCCAATTGTATCCTTTTTTTTCTGTATCTATTTTTTTTTTCTTCAAATATTTGAATATCAGTATCTTATATTTACAGGATTTGTTCATCTGGTCTTGCAAGTGATGTTACCATAGATATTGGTGATATATCTTTTCACTTACACAAGGTATAATGATTTTACATCCATATATATATGTAAATTAGTTATTAAATATGTGTGATTATTTTCATTATGTTGTATACTTGTATGTGTTTAATCTATTCTTATACTTTCGTATTTTCGTAGTTTCCCTTGATCTCAAGAAGTGGACTGCTAGAGAAGCTTATTGGAGAGTTCACAAGTGAGGATGGATCAAGCTGCATCGTCAGACTCGATGAAGTACCTGGTGGATCCAAGGCATTTGAACTTGTTGCTAAATTTTGTTATGGAATGAAGCTTGAGATTAATCCCTCCAACGTAGTCTCTCTACGTTGTGCAGGAGAATACCTCGAAATGACTGAAGAGTATGGGGAGGGAAATCTCATTGCCCAAACTGAGGCCTTTTTTAGTGAAGTATTCAGCAGCTGGACAGACTCGATGCAGGCTCTTGTGACCTGTGAAGAAGTTCTCGAGCAAGCAGAGGAAGCTCATGTTGTGTCAAGGTGCATAAATTCCTTGGCGATTAAAGCATGTTCGGATCCTAGCTTGTTTGGATGGCCAGTTAGTGGACAAAGTAAGAACTCCAAAGAGAAGTCTTTATGGAACAGGATTTCTTCAGGGAGCAAGTCACAGATTACTACTGCTGATGATTGGTGGTATGAGGATGTATCTTCTCTTAGTTTTTCGCTTTATATGAGGCTTATTAAAGCTGTTGAAGCAAGGGGAATGAAACCTGAAAGAGTTTCTGGTTCAATCATGTTTTACGCTAGGACTAATATCCCTCTTTTGAATAAGCAAGCTGAAAAGGATACAACCAAGCAAGGATCAGAGACTTCAACTACTCTGTTGTCTGAAGTTGACCAAGGGAACCTTCTTGAAGACATCGTAAATCTACTTCCTACACAAAAAGGCGTCACACCAACCAAATTTCTGCTAAGGCTACTGAAAACTGCTATGAACTTACATTGTAATCCGCCTTGCTTGGAAAATTTGGAGAAAAGGGTAGGAGCTCAACTAGACCAAGCCACATTGGTAGATTTGCTAATTCCAAACACAGGGTTTGCGTTAGAAACATTGTATGATACTGATTGTGTTCAGAGGATTGCCGATCATTTCATGAAAATGCAGTTAGGCGTGTCTGGAACATCTTCTCCTACAACAGCAGAAGATGGTGTCCAGTTGATAAATGCATCTGAATCTATTGCTTCCATGACTTTGGTGGCCGAACTTATTGATTTTTACCTTGCTGAGGTTGCCCCTGATGTCAATGTTAAGGCTCCCAAATTCCAGGCTCTTGCTGCTGTGATCCCTGATTATGCAAGGCCTAGATATGATGCTTTCTACCATGCCGTTGATATCTATCTTAAGGTATCGCCTATTTCCCTTTTGTATGTTCCAAATAATAGAGATAGTAACAATACATTAAAAATCCTTATATGCTACTTATTGCAGGCACATCCATGGCTCACAGAGTCCGAGAGGGAGCAAATTTGCAGGTTAATGAATTGTCAGAAGCTGTCACTAGAAGCCAGTACTCATGCAGCACAAAATGAGCGGTTGCCACTTCGAATGGTAGTCCAAGTCCTTTTCTTTGAACAACTAAGACTTCGAACTCAGATCTCTGGATGGTTTTTCTTGTCTGATAACCTCGATAGCTCGCAAAATAGAGATCAAGATGAGATTGTGGATCAGGATCGAGCTTTAGTGGTTGCTGGTGATGTGAGGAATCGAGTTTCTGAGCTTGAGAAGGAATATCAAACTATGAAAAAAGAGATACAGAAAATGACTAAGACCAAGAAAAAATGGAGCATATTTTCGAAAATGTTTGCCAGACCTAAACCGCGTGCTCAGTTAATCCAGCCAAAATCTGGGCTTACAAAAGTGCAACAAGCATCTCTTCTCAAAACCCAAGAGTTGGAGAATACAAAGTTTACAGAGTTAGATGGTACAAATCAAAATTAGAAGGGTAATGATTTTGTGTTTGCTTCTCATTTTCTGCTTGGTACTTTAGTTTTAAAGACTCCTATGTTCTACATTTTCTTGTTAGAAAGGTTCTTTTATGTTGCAGAAATTCAACACTCGTGACTTTTTTCTACTTAGTTCGTTGTAATGTAAGTTATTGCGTTACTGTCTTACTGATTTTCCTACACTGCTTCCTCTCCCTAAGTTTTCGAACAAGCTTGATCAGAATAAGCATTGGACATCTTGTTTTGATATAATCCAGCTTGAAAGTTTATTAGTTTGTGTGGCATTTTTGTTTTCTAGATTTGACAGTCCTTTTGGTATATTACGGAAGAGGGTGTTTCGTTTACTTATTCTGGCAGTATGGTAACAAAGTAAATCACCTACTTCCGCTAGGGTTTCGAGGGTAAGGGCAGCGACAGTCGGCGGTTTTAAGGGGACGAGGCTGGGTTTTCGGGCAAGTTAATTTTTTCCGACGAGGGGAGAATTCTTCTAAGGAAGGTGCGATGGGTTCCAATTTGGAGAAGGGAAGGTGCGGCACCTACCAGCGAGGACTGGACGAGATCCGACGAGGACTAGGCCAGCTTCGGCGATGTGGTTTTGCGGTGGGGGTAAGTGGGTAAGGTAGTGGGCTGGTGTGTGTAGTGGAGGCTTAGGAAAGGGAATGGGAAAGTCTAGGGGAGGGTGGGGAATCAAGATAGAAGAATTTGAGGTAAACTCAAAAATAAAAATAGGTAAAGGGAATGAAAAAAATGACAAACAAACAGCAACAAAGGGAATGAGGCATGTTCATTCCCTTTCCCTTTGATTATTAACCCCAACCAAACGGCCCCTCAATATAAAGTGTCTCTATAGACAAGTTTAAACGTCAAAAATCAAATGCATCAAATGATATAATCTTGAAAATAACACTATGAAAGATTTGCTGAAGAATGTGAAATACTGAACCTGAAATTCTTGCATAAAGACTTGTAAATAATGCCTGGCTGAATTTCTCTATTAATTTATAAAAATGTATTGATTATTCCTAAAGCCATAGTTGGTCAAATCTCCAAAGGTACAGCATAAACCCTTAAGATATAGTTCTATATAACTAAAAGACGAAATAAAGCTATACAACATTTATCAAAGATTATATTTTTGTCTCAAAAATGTAAGTTGAAGATACGGCCAAACCTTCAGCATCGAATGTGCGTACCAATCTCTGCCTTTTATCAGGAGACTCAAGCCAACAAAACTCAAGATGAAATGACTTTAGTTCAGCCACACTCTTCGCTATATCAGTAGGGCATCCCATATACATACCTCCAGGCAACAAAGTTAACTGGAAACCTTTGTCAAACTTTATCAGGTTGTCCTGCATCGTGCCCGTCCATTGAACATTAGCAGTGACATCACTTCCTTTGACAGTTGAACTTATGTCCTGTATATTTGTGACCCAAAAAGAGGATTATTAGGAACCACACAAAGATCACTTAAAATATCAAGTCATGTCAACCGCAACATGAACTTCAACGATCCGAAAAATTGAAAGGCTACGATAGCAGTTTATGTAAGTATCTAATAGTATGAGAAAACACAAAGATAATACTAGTATAAGACTACGCATACATTACTCTTAAGGCACTGATGAAGCTTAAGCAAATTGGATGCTTAATCTAAAATAAAGAAATATTACAGTGGATGGAGCTACCAAAGTTGTTTTTGTCACCGCCAAACTAATAGAGTTATTGAAGGTACGTAACTAGGGCATTTCGAGATGTCTTCTATTCTTTATTTACACACGTAAGATAGCTATTTTCATTAATCCCTAATACTTACCACCGTTTTTTTTAGTTGACAAGTATATCTTTCTTTTAGGAAGTTTAATTTTAGTTGACATGTTTCCTTTTTAGGTAAGTTTTATACCTTACTTTTTTAGTGTACCCCACTTGCTTTACCATTCTCTTTCATTATGTTGACCTTAAGTTTTGATGATGAGTCAAGGAACCTAAGCAAATCCATAGGTGTTTTAACCTTTGTCTATTAGCTTTGATTTGTTGTCAGGTTTTATGCAACGAAGTTTTAGAGTCAAAATGGAGCATGGAACAAGGCAAAGGATGAGCTATGGATGAGTATAGAAGACAATCAGAAGCCAAGTTCCTTGAGTGAGGAACTGAAGCCTCAGAGTCGAAGCTTCACAGTGTGTCAAGGAGTCTAATGTATATTTATCTCTATTTTAGGCTTTTTGTATCTATGTTAAGTACATTGTTAATTGATAGGATTTAAGTGGATTTAATTTAATTTGATAAAGATTTTTATTTTCCATCTTTTAACTTGTTTCAATCTTATTTCGGAAAATATCTTTTTAGTTAAAATATCTTTATGATTAAAAGATTTTCTGTTTTGATTCTATCCTATTATTTTGGAAAAACTGACTTGGAAAATATTCTTTTAAAAAAAACGGTTCTTCTACCTAGTCAAGGAAGTTGATAGAATTAAGGAAGCAGTAAACCACTTCCTTGAAGAATGCTTCAGCTTGCTGCCCAAGCACCCACGAACTACACTTCCTAATTTCATGGAAGTAGTGGCGTAGTGGGAGTTAAGGCTAACGGAAATATTTCAACTTCCTGCCTCTAGTATAAATAGGATTGGTTTTCTGTTTTGAAATACACACTTGAGTATTACAATCCTTAGCTTTTTGAAAAGAGTCAAAAATCCGCTTAAGTCCTTGAGTGTCTTTGTACTTAGCAATTTAGAGTTTAATCTTTTGAGTTGTATTGGGTTAGAGTTTGGGAAAACTCTAAGAGTGTTTTATTGCTTTGAGTGAAGCAAGGAGAAAGAGAGAGTGCTTGAGAGTTCGACTGATTGAGGGATCAGTTGAAGGGAGCTTAAGTTCATAGAGGAACTTGAGTTTAGAGTCTTAATTTGTAATAGGTTGTTTGCCCTATAAATATTAAGAGTTGAGTTAAAATCCCTTGTGGTCGTGGTTTTTCTTCTTGATTAGGGCCAAGAAGTTTTCCACGTAAAATCTCTCTTTGCACTTTTAGTTTTTATTCGAGTTCCTTTATAAATTCCGCAAAAATTACCCCAGTTCCTCTACAATACAATTCACCCCCCCTCTTGTATTGTTCATTCGAGTCAACACATTATCTCTCCTCTCCTTAATATATGTGCCTAAATTGAACGCGTCAACTAAATAGAAACGAAGTCATTTACTAATATTCCACCTACCTTTTCAAAGTTAAACATGTGATATAGCTTACACTAGATTTTTTCTAGGATGCTAATCTAGAGTTGTTGCTTTAGTTGGACTTTGTGTAAAATTAGTACTCATAGTTCTGACAATTTCAAAATAAACAATTTCATCCTGTATGCATGCAAGCAGTCTACCAAATATGTCAGCTCTGACAAGGCATCCAAAAACAGCATCTCGCACACAATAAATATAGTTGCTGTTAAACTACCCCATTCTGGTGCCTAACCTTTCTCACAAAACCACCAAGATATAAACCTAACCTTTCATGCAGCACATTTATGACACCAAAATTTCCCAGTTTATATGGTGCAAATGTTCACTCCCACTACAGTGTCACACTGTCACCATTCTTGATCAACCTTTAGCATTCATCATTTGTGAGGCCAGTAATATTATATCTAATTTGCCCAGCCTTCATAATTGCACATTATATACATTTAACCATCGCTGCATTTGACACCACCTACGTGATAGTTCTGAAAATAAATAGGAAGACTCGTGGACAAAATCCTGCACATTGTCCCACAAGACTCTCAGTCTTGACAGTGTGTACACAAGACTATGCATCAGACCCCCAACAAACAGACCCTTGATATGTACTCTTTCACAATAGCAGCTGTTAATTTATACAATAATGAGCTACTTAATTCTCAATGTCCAGTAATTTAACTTTTGCATTCACTGATGAGCCATAATTTTTTATAATGAATTGTCACCATCATTTTAATAAAATTATAGTATTCCCTCTATCCGAAATTTTCCTGGTTACTTTTTTGTGATGCACATACTTGACCAAAAATATTATAAACCATGCATTAGTAAAAATTAAACAAAGTTGATATGTGGAAATATAAACTATAATGACCTTTAAACAAAATTTCACATGTTAATGTCTTTTCATATATATTGACAAAAAAAAACATGACCAAAGTTTCAGTTTTGCAACTGAGACATCACTTGTAAGAAAATAACAAATGATATAGGAGTATAAAATTTATTTTTCACATCTTTTCAAAAGCACATAGTTAATTTTTATATAAGCAAGGGGACTGTATATGCAAGCATTATGTCAATCTAAACCACATGAAGTCATAAAATAAACAGATGTACTCTGCTTCAAGCATAGTAGTATAGTACTTTATGAAGCATTTGGTCAAACACTAAAATAGCATCCAAAATTGATAATCTGTTGAGGGGAGTGTCATACCTGGATCAACAGACCATTTTCATCAATTTCTAGTGAAGCAACTGTATCATGCTCAGCCATTGTTGCACCATACACACCACTGCGTTTGGTGACTGAACTACCCTTCCATCGACCAAGAAAAGGTAAAAGCCTGTTACTGTTATCCTACGAAATCCAAAAGGATCAGCTAAATAGTTACATTCCTTGGCTTCTTACATTTACTTAATAATCAATTCAAGTAATTATACAAGGGTTTTTGGTTGGTGAATACCTCTAAGGAAGGGGGTGCATCAACAATGCTTCCTCTCTCTTCAAGAAATATAAGAAGCATTTCTAGAATTCCTTTTGGGTCCATGATATGGAATGCTCTAGCTCGCATATCTTTATTGATAGAATAAAGGCAATTCTCACAGACAATAGATGGCCGCGAAGAGGGCAGCTTCAAGTTTCTGTGAAATAAAAAATATTTCTTTAAAACCTGGTGAGTTAACTCAAAGATATTGACAAAAGTTACAGAAGGATGACACTTTAAACTTTAAAGTGTAGATGTAAAGTCACACTATCATTTCCAAGATCCTAACGTGGACTCAATGCCTTACATATCAGAAAATGCATGATCTGTTATCTGTACTATGTAAGATTTTAATATCTCCTGCATGTTTTACCCTATTTGTCTATACTAGTATACATTCAAAAAGGTCAAAGTGAACCATCAATTTACATCAAAGAAAACAATGATGGACATTTTTTCATGGTTTGTCTTTATGTTGATCATCTTATCTACACTGAAAATGGTATGAAACTTATTAATAATTTCAAAGAGTATATGATGCAAGAATTTGAAAAGACAGACTTAGGCCTCATGAAATACTTTCTCGGAATTCAAGTAACGCAAACCAAGGGAGAAATTTTTATTATATCAAGAAAAATATACAATGGATCTCCTCAAAAAATTTCGAAAATTCTAAATCTCAGTTCCCCTGCTTCTCTCTCTAAAACAGAAATGCTCCTCCTTCTCTCTAAAAACAAAAACAGAGCCCCCTCAAACTACCCCCGCCGCCGGCGGCCAGAGCACCAGTGCTCAACCAAGGTCGTCGGCGAGCATTTCTTGACGACCTAGGCGACTATTCAAGTGCGGTTCCTCCTAGCTAACCCAAACATTCTAATTTTCTTGAAGAAAAGTTAGGGTTAGGGTTTCAGATTTCGATTTCGGGGGAACTTTTTTCGATCTTCTACCTTTCCAGATCGAAGAACTAGTGATTGGTTGTAATACCACTGTTGTTCGGGGTGGTGTAGGTGCTGCTAACGGCGCATCTGACGGGGTTTTGCGGCTCTGCCAAGGTGTTCTTTATAATGGTCTCTCTGGTATGTCTTGTTTGGTTATGGAGAAGCTTGTTTTCTCTTTGTTTATCAGTTTGAACCTTAGTTTCTAGTTGTTTGGTATTTAAAGCTTGTCTTAGTTTTAAGTTTTTATGGATAAGTTTGAAGAACTTAGGGGGATTTTGTGTATTGCTCATGTTGAAGAAGATGATATATCTTCACATAAACTAGAGCTTTTAGTTGGTAAGTTGGGGAATCCTTATGGTATTCTGGAATTTGTTAGGGGTTTGAAAGATAAAGGTAATGCCTTCTACAAACAGTGTAATATGGGATTAGCGTTTACTAAATACTCTCTTGCACTCAAGCTATTATCTTTTGTTACGGTGGGTAATGATGAAGATAAATCAGTTTTTTCGAGCCTAGCTATGTCTCTTAATCTGAACTTGGGTGCTTGTTATGTCAAAGAGGAAAACTTTGACAAGGTGGGTCAGTTGTGTACTGCAGTTTTGTGTTATGATACTTCTAATGTGAAAGCTTATTTTAGAAGGGCGGTGGCAGCTTTAGGGCTCAATAAACCCGAATTAGCTTTCATGGATTTTGCACAAGCAATTAGGATTGATCCCACCAACAGAGAGTTTCAACAAAAACTCAATGAGGTGATATCTTTATTGGGTTGGTCCTCAGATTTTGTTAATGAGGCACTTGCAGTTACAAGAGAGGATAAAATGTTTAGAGATTATGCTAAAATTGGGAAAGAAGAAGAAAAGAGGAAGTTAGGGAAAAAAGGGAAAAGAAAGGAAAGAGATGGTAGTGGAGATGGTTGTGTTCGTAGGTGTATTGGTGTAAAAGATGTCACCAAAAAGGAAAAGGATGTTGCTGGCAAATCTTTGAATTCGGAGGAGGGTAAAGTTAACCCTATCGATCAAGATCGAAGGCCCAACATTATTGATAACAATTCTGATCTGAAGTCAACTTCCAAATCTTACAGGTCAAGTTATCGGTTTTGTTACCGAAAACGTATTGATTCCTATTTGCATGTCACTCCAACAATGTATGGAGCGATTTCTAAAGGACGGACACTACACTACTATTGCTCTTCCAGGAAGGATTTTATTAGCATCCGAGTACTCGATCCTCTAAAGAAGATGGATTGTGTTGAAACTCAAGAAGTTTTTACACCAATGGAGATTAGTCACCCCCCCTATGAAAGGGCATGATAGGTGTGAAGCAACTCCAAATTTGGCACAAGATGATCCGACCATAGGTATGGTTGATCAAGTGTCATCGTGTGAAAGTATGTCGGTGCCCCTTCCAGTTGCTCCAGTCTACTCCCCGTTGAAATCTGCTGCAAGCCCCAACAACCCCTCTTCTCAGATTTTGAAATTATTGGTTTCTATTTGTCGTTCCAGAGCTAGAAGGAAAAGTCAATCTCTAAGAAATTTAACTTCTTCTATCTTTACTAACCCTTTGTTTTGCAGGATGAGTGGCTCAAAAAGGAAAGCGTCTTATCCCACTGAACTCCTATGGCTTCCGAATAGAAAGTTGTTATATGGTTCTACCCCTAATGTTCTAGTGTGTACTTTAGTTTATGATTAATTTAGGGTTTTGCTGTTGTAAAAAAAAAAAAAAAATCATATGGAGAATTGCTAAACTGTGAATACTCCTATGGCATTGAATGAAAAATTAAGTCAAGATTATGGAGCTAAAAAGGTCGATATTAATATATACAGAAGTTTGGTAGGCTCTTTACTATACTTAACCCATTCAAGACCTACCTGACATAGCTCAAGCAATGAATATGGTATCAAAATTTATGAATAATCCTAGCAAAACACATTTTGCTGCCGCGAAAAGGATAATATGTTATCTTCAAGGCACCAAGAAAATAGGCATAATAAGATACCGAACTAAAGAGTGTGATAAATTGATTGGATACACAGATAGTGGCTCTGTAGATGATCGTAAGAGTACATCAACTTACATATTCTGCACAAAAATAATATCATGGAATTCAAGGAAACAACAAAGTAAAGCATTGTCCTCAACAGAAGCTGAATACATGTCCACTAAAGCAGCATGTGAAGCGGTTTGGTTAAGAAGAATTTTAAAAGATTTGGAAAAAAATGCAAGAAAGTTCAACAACATATATTGCGACAATATGTCGGCAATTGCAATGACAAAAAATCCAGTGTTCCATGGTAGAAGCAAACACGTTATGATTCGACATCATTTTATACGTGACTTAGTCCATGAAGGAGAAATAAAGCTTAAGTTATATTAAGATTTCCTTATGTTATAAAGGACTTGTTAGGTGATCAATTACATCACACCCTAGAGAGCCAACAAATTAGGACTCATTGTTTATTCAAGTTGTTCTTTCTCCATTATATGAAGAAGCTTCCGAATCCCCCACCTGTGGACGTTGGTCAAATTTGACCAAACAACTTGTGTTTTCTTTGTTTTCTTTATCGTTTTTCTCGTTCTAAATTTTCATTGACTTGTTCTGCATTAATCAAACATAATGCCACCCGACTTCCCAACAACTATTTATCACAATTAGCAAAGCAAGTGGCAACTAGATGCCATAACTACAATAACTATTTGACAAACATGGTTGATTATGGCTCCCTCCTAAAAGGTGAATGCATTAGATGTTGGGAAAAGTCTAATATGAAGAGGAAGAAAGACAAACTCATGTCCCTACTATAGAACCAAGGGCAATCACGGTAGGACTTATATTGTTAAGATTAATGTGGCCAAAATTGGAAATATATTGCTTCCTTAGGTCTCGAAAGGAAAGATTTATAAATTGTTTCAAATAGATTGGTAGTAATATATATACCATGTTGAGTAGGGTGTGAGAGGGAAAGAGGTTTAAGTAGCAACTGCTACATACAAAATAAAAAGAAAGAGTATATTAAAGAACTCAAACTTAGGCAGAGTCTACTTGGAAGGAACTTTAAAACCTTCAGATTAATATTGTACTTCATATGCAATCTGCAGTTCTATTCGTGTGCTAGGAAATATCAAACAAACATCGAAAAGGGAAATATATCTCTACTTGTTTTCAAACGATTGTGTCACTGACACTGTGTTATTTGCCTATTATATAGATGATTTCACCTTTAAAAAATCCCATACTCCTAGAACATATCTTATTAAACAAGCCATCTTATAATGCTTGATTAAAATATAGGAGAAACTGCCTTAGAAAAGAGACCACCTACTTGGGAGATTCTTCACCGGTGTCATCTTCCCCAAGAACCCCCTGTCTTAACACTGTTTCTAACATACCAGCAGTCTGGTATCTTAGGGCAAATGCCCTCTCATTTGGAAAGAAGCCAATCTGTAAATGAAACAGGTTTTACATCAAATTCAAAAGACAAAAATCACTAAATGTAAGGTTTACTCCAGAATTTGAAAACCATCTGCCATGTATTGAAAGAAAAACCTGTTGATACTTGTCCACAGTAAACATGTTGCTTTCTTTGATTTTGTACTCTGCCCACTCTGTCTCCTCCTCATCACCAGAAATGGATGTGCTTGATACAGGCTGTTTTATGTACAACCTGAAAGCAGTTCATGATTGTCACGAAAGGCAGAGAGGGCAGCCACAAGGCCCACAAAATAATGGATTCACTGATCATAATATCATACTATAAAACATAACTTCAATATAGTGATTGCAACTCATAAATATTTATCACTAGCCAAAATTATTGAGAACATTATACTAGCACCTCTAAAGAGAAAACCCCTTATATCTATTAAAACTTTCTTATGATCCGAAACCTAGGGGTGTCTATTAGGCATTCAGTTTGATTTTGGCCTATATCCAACCCAGTCCAAACTAAAATTTGAGTCCAATCCGATCCAAATTTTCCCAAAATCCAACAAGATTCAATCCGAATCAGATTTCAGTAGTTAGGATCCAATCTGAAATCCAAATTAAAATAAACTACCATGTTTTGTCAAGCCAAACGACCCTTGTATGCAATAAAAACATCATAAATCATCAATGCACTAACTAACTCGAACACGAATTTTGATATAGATCATAAATCAGCAATAAGTATATTATGTAAAAGTAAACAATGCAAGGATTGTTGTGAAACATCATGGACTCATCTATCCAAGCCATGATGAGGGAGCAAGGGAGAAGTTAACATACGTCTGAATGAGGCTAATGAGCTCATCTTCACCATAAGAGCCAGCAGAGAGCCGAGTAGTCACTTTATGCAGAAGCTTTCCATTAGCATCAAATTGCTGCCAACATCAAATATACTGCTTATAAATGCATCAAAAAAAAAGTATTGTGCTGGTTAGCATCAAGAGTTGTATATTAAAAAGATAACAGAAAAGAAAGTATGTGACAGTGGTTAGCTAACTAGATATATTCACTCATATATAATGAAATAGGTGAAATTCCCCAAGTGCTTAATGCTGCGGTAGTACTATTTTTTTGTTCCAAGAACAGTTTGCAGATTAACCAGCCAAAAACATATGAACCTCTAATAGGAAGGTTTACACTACCTTCTATGGAATCTAACAACAAAATCAGCGTAAGTATGGCATATTCAGACATAGTTTTTTGCGGTACTTTCCTATACACAATGTAAAAGTTCTTCAGTCATCTAAAACCAATTCTTCCAAAAACCATCTAGATACTAGACCTCATCCAATATAAATCCTAGTAGACATCAGCAGAAAAGCCTTTGAATCTTGTGTAGCTAGACCATTTAAGCAAGCCAACCCTTTGTAGCAGGACACTCAATGACTAATGTTGTATGCCACCAGAAACAAAAGTTCACTACACAAACATATTGTATCTTACTTATCTGCTTCAAGTCAAAAGCCTATCATGCATCTCGAGCCAATCATGAAACAATCTCAAGGAACATTCTTGTACCCATTAGCCTCAACCTTTTTTCAAGCAGAAAAAAGCATAAATGTTGCTTATTATGCTTAATATGTATCTCCTATCATCTCCGGGATTAACACTTGAAATAAGAACTTCCAGGCATCAATCATATTTGAAATATTGTTAGGTTTGTAACTATAAAATCTAGGTTGGTTTATATTCTCAGCTTTATGATTTGGTTCAAGCTCAGTCCAGCAGCAGCAGATGCAGGGCAAATAATCACAACAGGTTGAGCTCAGGCAACTTGGTGATCAGACAACCTTGTCCACCTCAACAAGAGGTTGTTGTTAGATAGTTTGTTATGATATTCCAATTTTGTTAGAAAGTTGTCAGGGTGTAATAAGCTTAGCTCCTTTCAACTTCTGTATTTCTATACACTAATATATGTTAGCTGTAAATAATGAAAAATGAGAATTCATAATTTTTTTTTAACAATGTTGTTTGATTAGTCCAATGTATATTTATACAAGATCAATTTCTGAAAATTTTTTTTTTTTTCCAACTTATAGCCTGTTACGGATATTAATGGTAAAATACATGTCTCAAAAGTAGCAAAATACAAAGTAAATTCATACACAGTACAGAGTACTTAATAGTCCCAGAAATACTCTACCACTAAAAAAGAAACCCAGAAATTATAAACAAAAACCATGAAGAAAAAAAAAAGGGGATTAAAATTGAAATGAGGAAGAAGATACCCACATAGAAAGAACCAGCCCAACTTCCGAGATTAATTTGAACAAAACGATGAAGATTGTCGATACCCAATGAATCCTCATCTGCTATCTCCAAGTCTGGGACAGAAGTTGGGGTTGTAGTTGCTTTAATTGAATATTTGGGATGATTTTTGATGCTGTAAAATGTTGGAATTGTGCGGAAGTTTGAAGATGGAAGAAAAATTGGTTGATATTTGTTGTGAGAAAGAAGTTTTGGGGTAAATGGAGAGGAAATTGAACAAGAAAAGGATGCCATAGTAGTAGCTAGGAGGAGAGACTGGAGTTATCCTTTAGAGTTGGCTTATCCAAGAGTAGACATTATTCTGCTATAGTGCTATGGAGTAACAGATTAACGGATAGAGAAAAGTTTTCAATTTCTTTTGAGCAAGTGTAGCGCAAATTAGAACGTACACGAGGGTGTAAAACTTACCTGATCCTAAAGCTTTATTTGAACACCCCGTCTTATGTGCGGCTTAGACCTGGCAAATGGGTCGTTCAGATCGAATACCGTCAGATAAGTTTCGGATCTAGTTAATTCAGGTGGGTTATTATGAGTTTTCGGGTATAATTCCGGTCAGGTATCGGGTTGATTTCAGATCGGGTTAATGTCAAGTCGGATCATTTCAAGTCATACTATTTAATCAAGCTCAAATCAACAGTTGGATTTATTTATGACACCAGACATGTTTAATTCAATTACAGAGTAATTTTAGTTCGGGATATTCGGATATCGGGTCTGTTCGAGTCAATTAGAGTATCGAGTCTGTTCAGGTCAAACACTTCGGGTGAAATTCGGATCGGGTCAGTTCAGACGTCGTGTCAAGATCGAGTCAACTGCATTTTCGGGTTCGGTATGGGTCGGGTCGGGTCAATTTCGAATTTCGAGTCATTTTCGGGTCGATGTTTTTGGGTCATGAGTTAGGTTATCAGGCCTGGCTCAGGATTGCTAGGTTCGATCTAGTGTGGTTGGCCACATCATGTAGCCACTTATAACAGAACAAAATAACCCTAATAACACTGATTGAGTAACCCTATAACACTAACAAAGTAACCCCTTTAAAAGTGATCAAGTAAATCATATTATAGTAACGAGGTAACCTCACATATAAGAATTAGTGTTACTTGAAATCGAGCCGGTTTTTGATCTGAATTTTTTTTAATACAAATCCGATTAACTTGAAGTTAACTTTGATATCAATTTTACCCCGATAATTTACAATCCAAACACAACTTGGTATCAACTCATTCTTTATCTAAAACAATATAATATGATAATTCAATATATGAATTGGATCTTACACGAAATGAAATAAAACCATTTACACCCAAATAAAACCTCATTTTACCCAACTTAAAACTATTCAAGCCCGATTAAACCCGACCCAAAACATATTAGGCAATTATTTATTGACTTATTGATTATAGTAGAGAACAAAGGAGGACTTATAATATTTAGTATAAAACTAGTTATTGGCCCGGACGATGCTCCAGATCACTATAAATTTGTAAGATTGATCAGAATTAAATTTAAAAGTTTGGTATTCAACAATATTTATAAATAAATAAAAATGTAATAATAAATTTTAGATTAATGGGGGGTTAGTTTTTATTCATTTTACTTTACATTATAAAATAATAACTTTATAAAAATATTATTGTACTTCGTGGTATTGAATCTAGTAAATTAGCATCGAAAAAATCAATGACAATTAGTGTGAGATTAATGTCTTAAAAATTAAATTATAGAATACTATGCAATTACTTAGGAGTTATATTCTATGAAAAAATTAAATACGTACAATTGAATATTATGCATATGAAGAGCTTTAGGATGATGAATATTGACACATAAGACCAAGTGACACATAGCGCGCGCGCACACACATATATATATATATATATATATATATATATATGAGAAATTCTCAATAGTAGCCTCCTGTTTTTGCTTATTTCTAATGGTAACCATTTTTTTTATTATTATCTTTGGTAGCCCTAAACTTTCATTATTTTACAACCGTGACCTTAAATCCTTAATGATGATATTTCCGTTAATTCTAACTTACTATTCAACTAAGGTTAAATTATTCCAAAAAAATGTTAACTATTTATATTTTTTAAAAAAATTATTAACAAAATAAAATACCCATTCCCCAACCAACCCTTAACCTCCATTGACAAGCGTCCCAGGAACCACCTACAGACCAGAATCTCGCTACAGACCAGAATCTCGCTGGTCATCGTCAACCAACATCCCCAATCCCTCCGTCCACCTTCGACTAACAACGCCTCCTACCGGCAATCCAAATCAGACCCCACAATGTTTCCCCTAACCCCGACCCTTTTTCTCTCCCCAAACCCGGCCCCAACCCAGACCCTAATGGCGTGGCTAGGCACTTTACCTGGCTACGCCACTAGTCGTTGTTGCGACTAGGCAGGGTGCTCAATCAATCTGCTACGGCGGTCAGACTAGCAAGGGCAGCAAGTCGGCAAATTTAAGGGAGGGGCAAGGGGGTTGATGCTGCCGTGGTCGGGCTTCGACACAGCTGCATTAGTTAGCTATTGCATTAAGCCATTAATTGGTCGCGATTGTGGCTTTGGCCTGGCTACGGCGGGTGTCGGCGTCTGCCTGTTGTGGTATATTTAGGGATAGATAGAAGATAGGGGTAGTGGTTGGCTTGTTGTCGTGGGGTTTTGGGGTTGGGTGGTGGCAGGCTGGAAGCTACGAAAGAAGGGAAGCTAAGGAAAGAGAATCGTTGAATAGAGACAAAAAAAAAAAGTTGACCATGGTTAAAGTTAATGGTTAGTTAACGGTTTTAGGCTTAATAAGGTTACAGGTGTATGTTTTTAATAGTAGAGGGCTACCAAAGATAATCGGAAAAAAAAATATATCTACTGTTTCGGGGTTTTCTGATGTCCTGCGGGAGAGTTACAATTCCGAGACTGGAACCGGACGCCTGTACCTGCAAAATAACGGAGACTCCTGAGAGCTCCGCCTCCAACGGTCAAGTTAGTACCTGATTAAGAAGTAATTAATACGGAAATTAAAGTAATAAGATCTCTCTAGGTGAGAGTGTTTAATGTTGGTAATCTGCGTCGTTAGCGAGATTAGCCGGTTATTAGTGTTCCGTAATGTTTATGTTCTTCTCTGTTCTCTTGATTTCTTGATTGCTTGACTGCTTATTTAATGAGGATTAATTAAGTATTTATAACCTTGAGAAGCGTGCCACTCTCTAGGTTTAGGGTAAACCTAGAGCTGACCGGGCCTCTAGACAGGATTGGGCCTTGATGGCCGGTTTTCCCATTTGGCATGGGTGGACACGTGGCGTGTCTCAATTGGTCCGTAGAGAACGTATATGTGATTGACACGTGGCAGGCTCCTATTGGCCTTCGTGAAGGACACGTGGCGGAACCTGGTTGGTCCACTTGTCAGACGGTGATTGGTGGATAAAAATCCCCTAATCATTTGCCCCTCACAGGTGGCACGTGACTGGTCACGTGTCGCCTGTGACAGGTGTCGCACGGTGACAAGCGACGGCCTGCTACAGGTGTCACCTTGCAAATGGCCGAGAGATTTTCCCGCCCAAATTTCGAATTTGGAAGCGACCCTTCGCCTTCTCACTTTGCCTATAAAAGGAAGTGCTGACTTCGGTCATTTTCACATTTGAGAACTTTGCGAGAACATTCGGACCCCTGAACTTGCTCTGACATTTCGGACCTTTTCTGCCTACCGCCTGTTCTGACAAGCCGACTGCACCGGATTTCCAGAACTTCATCAACCGTCACTCGTTCAGGTAACTCAGTTCTCTTACTCTTAATTTTCTTTTTATTTTTTGAAATGGCACCACGGAAGCACACGACACGACCTAAGTTAGTGATCAGCCGGTCACCGGGGACGGCTGAATCTAGGACTAGGAGTGCCGCCTGCCCTTTTCTGGACCCATCTTTGCCCTTTATACAAAGTCCGACTGTATCTGTGTCTATGCAGAACGTGATGGCCAGAACAAAACAGACTGCTATGATATCAAATTCAGACGGCTCCTCCCAAAGGGTGCTCATTAGTGAAACATCTGACCAGGCGCCAGATGTAGAATTGAAACAAGGCGGCTGCCAAGCCGACAGTTCTGAGAGAGGGGCCAAGGCGGTCCCTTCCCATCTTACCGTGGACATGTCTAATTTTCCTCTTGCTCCTTCTAAGGGAGAGGAGGCGGGCCCCTCTGGGAGAGGGGAGGAGTCGTCCTCTTCGGACTCGTCAGAGGACGAGTCCGAGTCCAGCTCTTCTGGCCACAGTTCTCCAAGCTCAGAAGAAAGACATAGCCGCCTACAAGAGGCGAGACTTTCTCATGCAGTTGAGAAGGGGGACAATTGGGCGGAGCCGTCCGCCTCTTACAGAGAGGAAAACGCCCCCTACTACTGCATGGTACCCCGGGGCCGGATCGCAACCATGCAAGACAAAGTGGCGAGCTTTATTGCTAACCACAGAATGGGCCCGGAATTTTTACTGTTCGTGCCGGATCCAGAAGACACTGTCGTCTGGCAGGCTGGTACCAGCTATGATGACGGCTGCTTTGGCTGCTATGTGGCGGCCATCAAAGCTGGACTACGCTTCCCATTACATCCGGCTGTTCAGCGGATTTTAGATGGGTATGATTTGGGGTTATGGCAGTTAGCCCCCAACTCTTGGGTAAACGTACTCGGCTATGTGGCCGGGTGCGAAATGTACGGGGTGGAGCCAAGCTTTGAGGCTTTCGCCCACATGAACTATCTCAGCCGGACCCCTAAGTCGGGAGGTACCGGCTGGTATCAATTAACAAGCCATAGGGGTTACCTCATGACGAGAGGTAAGGCGAACAAATGGAAGGATTGACGGAACACCTTCCTTATCATTGAGGGTTCAGACACGGAGCTGAACCAACGTTTTAACAAGTGGAATAGGGATCCGCCTCTTCTCGCAGGCGGCCGCAGCATGCCGCCTGTTCCCCCAAAGGCTAAAAGAGAGATCCTAGACAAAGGACTCTTCAAAGTAGAGACTAGGGTGAACCCTACTTCAGGGGTACGAGAGCAAGTACCCCTAAACTGCGTCCCGAGCTTCAAGTGGCTCTATGACGAGTACTTTTTGGCCGCCTGTGGCCTCAGCAGTCGGTGCTCTAGAGGTAGCCGGCCTGACAAATACTCTGTTTTTTCCACGCCTTGTTTACTTGGGACCTTTACTAACTTTGCTGTTTATTTTTTGCAGCTGACGCCATGAGTAAAATAACAGCATCCAAGACTGCGGCGGCCATGTTGCGGGCCTCTCTCATGCAACAGTCTTATGCCGACTCCCCCAACAAGGGGGCACCCTTGGTAGGCTTCGAAAACTCTTCCTCTTTTAGTTGTCTTATGCATATACTAACTCTTTTTGTTTTCAGTCTGGCA